TTCTGATCACTAGAAGCAGGTGTTCTTATCTCTAGAAGCAGGTGTTCTGATCACTAGAAGCAGGTGTTCTCATCTCTAGAGACAGGTGTTCTCATCTCTAGAGACAGGTGTTCTGATCTCTAGAGACAGGTGTTCTGATCTCTAGAAGCAGGTGTTCTGATCTCTAGAGGCAGGTTTTCTGATCTCTAGAGACAGGTGTTCTGATCTCTAGAGACAGGTGTTCTGATCTCTAGAGACAGGTGTTCTGATCTCTAGAAGCAGGTGTTCTGACCTCTAGAAGCAGGTGTTCTGATCTCTAGAGACAGGTGTTCTGATCTCTAGAGACAGGTGTTCTGATCTCTAGAGACAGGTGTTCTCATCTCTAGAGGCAGGTGTTCTGATCACTAGAAGCAGGTGTTCTGATCTCTAGAGACAGGTGTTCTGATCTCTAGAGACAGGTGTTCTGATCTCTAGAGACAGGTGTCCTGATCTCTAGAGACAGGTGTTCTGATCTCTAGAGACAGGTGTTCTGATCTCTAGAAGCAGGTGTTCTGATCTCTAGAGACAGGTGTTCTGATCTCTAGAGACAGGTGTTCTGATCTCTAGAGACAGGTGTTCTGATCTCTAGAGACAGGTGTTCTGATCTCTAGAGACAGGTGTTCTGATCTCTAGAGACAGGTGTTCTGATCTCTAGAAGCAGGTGTTCTTATCTCTAGAAGCAGGTGTTCTGATCTCTAGAGACAGGTGTTCTGATCTCTAGAGACAGGTGTTCTGATCTCTAGAGACAGGTGTTCTGATCTCTAGAAGCAGGTGTTCTTATCTCTAGAAGCAGGTGTTCTGGTCTCTAGAGACAGGTGTTCTGATCTCTAGAGACAGGTGTTCTGATCTCTAGAAGCAGGTGTTCTGATCTCTAGAGACAGGTGTTCTCATCTCTAGAGACAGGTGTTCTCATCTCTAGAGACAGGTGTTCTCATCTCTAGAGACAGGTGTCTCATCCAAAGTGACATCACCTTAATTATAAGACTTGATTGACATCTGTCAACTGATGGAAATGTAATAGACAGAAATTAAAAAAAAAAATTAAAAATTCCTTGGAATCAAGACCTATACACACACACTTATTTCGTCTACTCTTGTCTACTTTCATCTACTATTATTCCATATTTACCATTCTTCCTTTCCTTAGATTCTTTAGATTCTCTCATATCCTCATATCCCAGCTTCGAATCCTGTCCTCATATTCCAATTTCTCGTATCACGACTTCGAAAATGGCATAAAACGCCTGTCTTTCAGCGTATATTATTATTGCGTTAATGAGAGATAAGATAAACAATAGAACGGATGATAACCTCTCTCTCAACGAATGCCAGTGGAAACAAGCCACTCTTCCTGTCAGGCTCGGTGGCTTGGGTGTCCGCACCGCCACCCAAATTGCAGTCCCAGCCTTCCTGTCTTCCTCCTCAGCATCAGATGACCTGGTTAAGGAAATTCTACCTGACACCCTGAGTGATGTAGCGGGGATACAGGACCCCCACTACACGGAATGTGACACGAAATGGGGTGCCATGACAGACCCAGCACTCAGACCAGCCATGCCGAAAGCCAAGAAACAATCCAGTTGGGACAGCCCCATTGTAGACAAAGAAGCCACAGCTTTGCTGGAGGCAGCAACAACCCCCAGTGATCGTGCACGCCTCACAGCTGTGCAGGCTCCCCATGCAGGGGACTTCCTTCTGGCAGTCCCTATGTCTGCGACAGGCACACGTCTTGATCCGCAGGAGCTCCGTATTGCAGTCGCTCTCCGCCTTGCTGCCCCTATCCACACTGTTCACAGGTGTATTTGCGGCGAGGCAGATGCTGACGAATATGGATTGCATGGCCTGCACTGTGGAAAATCGGGTGGTTGGCACACTAGACACGACGAAGTCAACGACATCATTAAAAGAAGCCTTGCCTCTGCTCAGTGTCCAGCGGAGAGAGAGCCCCGCAACCTACTGAACCGTGACTCTGTTAGCTTTGCCGGCCGACCAGACGGAATCACACTGCGCCCGTGGAAGGGTGGCAGGCAGTTAGCATGGGACTATACTTGCGTATCCACCCTGGCAACGACATACATCACCCTCTCTGCCGGCACGGCAGGAGCCGCAGCGACACACAGAGAAAAACAAAAGTCAGTCAAGTACAGGCAATTAGATCAAAGGTACAATTTCGTTCCAATAGGGTCTGAGACCCTAGGCCCATGGGGTGAGAGTGCAAGAAGGTTTCTTAAGGATCTTGGTTCCAAGCTCATTGACACCACAAGAGACCCTAGAGCAGCAAGTTTTCTCTTTCAGCGCCTCAGTGTCGCGATCCAGAGGGGAAATGCCCGCTGCATCCTCGGTTCCTGCCCGGCGTCGGAGGAGTTCGAGGAAATCTACAGCCTCTAGGAAGCGAACTTTTTCTTGTGTCCTCTTAATGTTCATTTTTTGTATAAAATCAGATATGTAACTGTATAACCTTGCATAATAAAGTGTACATCATAATAAAAAAAAAAGGGGTGGTAGGAGAAGTGAACACTCTTTCGTATTCAGAGTTAAATGTCAAGTTTTTCCCTGAGTGCTCTGTGTTCCCTTCTCTGAGGCTGTGGGTCCCTATAATTACACCAGGTACCCCCCTATATATATATATATATATATATATATATATATATATATATATATATATATATATATATATATATATATATATTATATATATATATATATATATATGGTAGGTGCCCTGAGCCAATAGACCTACAGCAGTTTCTATAATTCTAATGTCCTTATGTCTATATAATTGAGGCAAGTATTCCCCCGAAAGGTAATTAATTTAAAAATAAACAAAGGTATGTGGTACTCATTTAAGACAATCTTAAATGACAATCTCCTTCTCTCTCCTCCCATCTCCAACACTCTCCTCCACCACCACTAAGAAGAGCAGGAGAATCTCCCATCTCCACCACCTCTGACCTAGGGCTTGAATAACAAGGAAATCCAGGAAGCTATTTCTTATTCTAGACAGACCCACATGCCCTGGATTATAGGCTCTGTCTCTAGCAATTCCTGTGTAAATTTCTCGACGTCCAAATTATAGAGGCATTAGGGGGTATAACATGGATTCTAATTATTGTCCATTGCTTGTGGGTTGAGACTGTGAAGGGCGACTCTGCTCCGTGATTGGTGGAGGGGGGCTACGGTATGAGCCTGCTCATTGGTCGCTATGACTTGAGAGAAGAGCTCATTGGTCGTTTTTTTGTGTTTCTTATGCTGTAATTATTTGATATTGAGTCTGTATTTAATACTCATGAAGAAGGTATGATGTGGGTGTGGACTTACCTACTTGTATTCTTCTGATGGTGTATGCAAGGGTTGGGCTTCGGCTCTTGGGGCTCTTTCATATGTGCATATGAAACTGTGTATGGAGTCTGCCTCTACAGGTCGGCCGAGCAGTCTCGGCCGACCGGTAGAGGAGAAATAGTCGGTCGAAAGCCGGTCGGCCGAGCACACAGCACGCTGGACTTGTGATCCTGTGGTCCTGGGTTCGATCCCAGGCGCCGGCGAGAAACATTGGGCAGAGTTTCTTTCACCCTATGCCCCTGTTACCTAGCAGTAAAATAGGTACCTGGGTGTTAGTGAGCTGTCACGGGCTGCTTCCTGGGGGTGGAGGACTGGTCGAGGACCGGGCCGCGGGGACACTAAAAAAAGCCCCGAAATCATCTCAAGATAACCTCAAGATAACCTACCATATCCCTTCTGAACATTGAAACTGAAAAAAATAATATTTCTAATGTGTCTGTGGCTCATTTGGGTATTCTGTTACCACCTGTGTTCGCTATTCGTCTACCCCGATGTTAAATAGTCTGTTCTTGTCTGCCCTATCAATTCTCCTCGCAATTGTGTAGGTGGTAATCATGTCTCCCTTAACTCTTCGGTTTTCCAGTGACATAAGGTGAAATTTCTGTTACCTTTCCTCGTATCTCATGACTCTTAGTTCAAGGTCTAGTTTGGTGGCATACCTCTGAACATTCTCCAACTTCGCCTCGTGTTTGACTAGATATGTACACCACTCTGGAGCTGCATACTGCAGGAATGGTCTGACATACCTGTTGTACAAGGTCTTGAATGATTATTTACATATATTTCTAAAGACAATTATCATCTTAGCTAACTTAGAAGATACTTTGATAATAATTTGTTGATATGGGGTTCTAGAGACGGGTTCAGGGGAGATATGAAACTGGTTTTAATGCGTTACACTTACTTTAGTTTAAGTCAAGTAGCCATTTGTTGGACTAATCATTTTTGTTCATTCAGCTCATCCTGTAGTCTCCTGCTATCTTTCTGGGTACTCACCTGTTTGAACCTACAGGATCGAGCTTTAGCTCTTAAACCCCGCTTGCTAGCCACTGGTGTGTGTGTGTACTCACCTAGTTGTTCTCACCTAGTTGTGCTTACGGGGGTTGAGCTCTGGCTCTTTGGTCCCGCCTCTCAACCGTCAATCAACTGGTGTACAGGTTCCTGAGCCTACTGGGCTCTATCATATCTACATTTGAAATTGCGTATGGAGTCAGCCTCCACCACATACACCTAATACATTCCATGTATTCTCCGCCTAATACATTCCATGAGTGTATTTCCATCAATGCATTTGCATTAGTGTGTGTGCTTCTGTAGGTGTTGTGTATATATGTGTTTGTATGTATATATTTGTGTGTATGCATGTGTTTGCTTATATGTATGTCTGTGTGTGTGTTTGTGTGTGTGTGTGTGTGATGTGGTTCGTATGTGTGTGTGCTAGTGAGTATGTGTTCACTCCATAGGTTATGTATGGGAGGGGGGGGGGGTTGTATATACAGCCACCAAATGTATAATTACACATTTGGTGCCTATACATATACATTTTCAAGACATACATTTACTTGGGTTGCGTTGTCGACTATGTACCAAGACTGTCTTCACGCAGCCGAGACATTCTTAGGAATTGTTGACATGATATGATA